CTTTCAAACAACTAGAGCCATTCAAAAGTAGCATGGGCTGCCTTGTGGTGGTGGGTCCCTCTTCCTTAGAGATCTTAGAGTAAGGATTGGATGACCACTTGCTGGTTATTAGCAGGGATCCTTTTTTTTGTATGAGTTCTATGATATGCAAGTCTTTGACCTTCAGGTACTTAACAGTTTTGTAATCTTTAAAATGATGGGATTGACTACTAGGTCTGTATTCTAAAGAGAGCATAAAAAAGGGGAAAAGGGCCTCCATGTACAAAAATATTTATAGCAGCTAATTTTGTGGTGGCAAAGAACTGGAACTTGAGGAGATGCCCATCAGCCAGTGAATGGCCGAACAAGTTGTAGTATATGAATGTAATGGAATACTATTGTGCTATAAGAAATGAGGAGCAGGTGTGTTTCAGAAAAACCTGGAAAAGATTACATGCACTGATGCAAAGTGAAATGAGCAGAACCAGGAGAACAGCATACACTGTAACAGCACCATTGTGTGACGATCGACTGTGATTGACTTAGCTCTTCTCAGCAATACAATGATCCAAGAGAAGTCCAAAAGACTCAAGATGGAAAAATGCTATCTACATCCAGAGAAAGAACTGGTGGAATCTGAATGCAGATCAAAGCATACTATTTTTCACTTTCTTTAGTTTTTTTTCATGTCTTTTTTTCCCCTTTTGTTCTGTTTCTTCTTTCACAACATGACTAATATGGAAATGTTTTAGTTGATCACACATATATAACCTATATCAAATTACATATCATTTTAGGGAGGGGGGAGGAGAGGAAGAAAGGGAGAAAATTTGGAACTCAAAATTTTATATAAAAATAAACGTTAAAAATTGTCTTGACATGTAATTGGAAAAAAATAAAATACTATTTAAAAGAAAAAATAAAATAATGGGATTGGGCTGCATAGATGATCCTGGAGGTTCTTTCTAGCTCTTTAGCTTCTAACCTATGAAAAATTTTCTATATGGGGTGAAAGGAAATATAGACATGAAACTGCTAAATACCAATACAAATGAGTGCCAACTGAGTAATATAGGCAGGAAAGGTTATAGGAGTTCAGAAGACAGAGCTGATACTGGTTGCAAAATTTTCAGGGTATTTACACCTCAGAAACTGGCAAATGCAACAGATCAGGGCTCGGTTTATTGTTTTATTAATTGCCTAGGCTTAAGAAAGTGACAGAGAAAATGCTGATGCAGATTAAACTTTTACATGTGTTGCACATACGTTCTTTTCTTTCCAGAGAGATGGTTATTCAACATTTATCAGCATGCTCCTGGCTGAGGCAGATGCAGAAGGATCCCTGGAGAAGATGCTACTTGTGCTGGACCTTGGAGGAGGAGAAGATTTGGACCGGTAGATGAAATGGGGAAGGAAATTCTAGATCCAGGAGCAGTATTGGAGGCAGTAATAAGCCTGGCATTTGTTGATACCATAAGCAAACTAGGAGGGCAAGGAATAGTTTACCTATCAGATTTATGGAGAAGGGAGGAATTTAGGACCAAACAAGAGGCAGAGAATGTTATGAAATGCAAAATGGATGATTTTGATTACATTAAGTTGAAAAGTTTTTGCACAAAGACATTGCAACCAAGATTAGAGGGGAAGCAGAAAGCTGGGAAACAATTTTTACAGCCAGTGTCTCTGTAAAGACGTCATTTCTAAAATGTGTAGAGAACTGAGTCAAATTTATAAGAATAGTCATTCCTGATTGATAAATGGTCAAAGGATATGAACAGGCAGTTTTCAGATGAAGAAATTAAAGTTATCTATAGTCATATAAAAATGCTCTAAATCACAGAAAGGCAAATCATAACAACTTTGAGGTACCACATCACACCTATCAGATTGGCTAACACAACAAAACAGGAAAATGATAAATGTTGGAGAAGATGTGGGGAAAGTGGAACACTAATGCATTGTTGATGGAGTTGTGAACTGATCCAGCCATTCTGGAGAGCAATTTGGAACAGTGCCTAAAGGGCTATAAAAATGTGCATACCCTTTGACCCAGTAACACCAGTTTCAGGTCTGTATCCCAAAGAGATCATAAAAATGGGAAAAGGACCCACATGTACAAAAATATTTACAGCAGCTCTTTCTGTGGTGGCAAAGAATTGGAAATTGAGGGGATGCCTATCAATTGAGGGATGCCCATCAATTGAGATGTAGCTGAACAAGTTGTGGTATATGAATGTAATGGAATACTATTGTGCTGTAAGAAATGGTGAGCAGGAGGACTTCAGAAAAACCTGGAAAGACTTAATGACCTGATATTGAGTGAAGTGAGCAGAACCAGGAGAACATTGACAGCTACATTGTGTGATGATCAACTGTGATAGACTTAGCTCTTCTCAGGAATACAGTGATTCAAGACAATTCCAAAAAACTCATGATAGAAAATGATATCTGCATCCAGAGAAAGAACTTTGGAGTCTGAATGCAGATGGAAACATACTATTTGCTCTTTTTTTGTTGTTGTTGTTTTGTTTCTTCTTTCTCACGGTTCCTCCCATTGGTTCTAATTCTCCTTTACAACATGACTAATGTGAAAATATGTTTAATATGAATGTATATGTAAAACCTATATCAGATTGCATGCCATCTTGGGAAGGGGGAAGGGAAGAAAGGGGGAGAAAAAAACCCTCAAAATCTTATGGAAGTGAATGTTGAAAAGTAAAAATAAATAATTTAAATAAAAAAATAAGCCTGCAATTTTAAGAGGAAGAGGAAGAAGGCCTTACTGGTAGAAGACGAGGGCTCACACAGCAGATTAATGGGAGAACATTAATTAATCAGTCTGCAAATATTGAAAAGAATGAGTTAGAGGTTTTGTAGTCTAACATCCTTCCCAAACTGAATGGAAAAGGCAGAAATTCCATTCCATTCAACAAACACTAAATCCACCATACAACATTCTGGACAGGCATCTAAAACACAGAATTAAGGTTAGGCAATTGCAGGGCTAAGTGAGGAAAGGCTTATATACAAGACTGAGAATGAATTTTCATGTTTTATGTCTGAGGCAGAATGGTTTAGAGAGCCCTGGATTGCCCCTGTGAGGAGACTGTGGGTGAGGTAGACTCAGATTACTAGCTGGGCCATGTTAGGCAAGCCATTTTCCTCTCTTGGCCTCAGTTTCCTCATCTGGAAAATGACTAGATAGTCTCTTCCATTCATTCTAGCTCCTTTAATCCAATTTTTCCTTTCCCCTGGCAAGAAAGCACTTGGGTGAGGTAGTGGAAAATGTGTTGTATTCAGAGGCAGAGGAAATGAGTCAAATTTTGACTCTGCTACATAATGCCTCCAAGAAATCTCTTCCCATCTTTGGGTTTCAGTGTCCTTATCTGTAAAATGAGAGTGTTCCTAGCCAGTCTCCAAGGTCCCTGCCAGATCTAAACCCATCTGGGGCTCTCCCTTGACATTGCCCTCATTGAGCACACTGTTCTACCGGGCTCTTAGACCTGCTCCTTGACAGCAGGGACTCTCTGCTGGGCGTGCCCTTTGCCCAGCCCTGTGTCTCTGCGGCTCACTGGGTCTGACCCTGGATCACCCCAGACTCCACTTCCAGAGATGGAGGCAGATGATGAAATCTGAACACAAATCGTATACCGTCTCCAATCCAATCCACTTCAGTCTATCTTCCGCACAGTTGCCAAAGTGATATTCCTAAGGTGCCACATCCGACCGTGGTGTCTCCCATAATAATAAACTCTTTAACTCCAGTGGTTCCCTATTACCTCTGGGATCAAATATAAATCCCTCTATTTGGCATTTGCTGCTTTTTACCACCTGGCTCCATCCTGCCTTTTTTGTTTTATTATACAAACTAGCTTTCTTACCATTCTTCACACGACATTGCATCTCCCAGACTTCCACGGGCTAACTCTCATGCCTAGGATGTCCTGCTTACTTTAGTCTCTTGGAATTCCTGGTTTCACTCAAGACGGTGGAGAACCAGCTTCTACTTGAAGCCCTTCCTGATCCCCCACTGCTTGTGCCTTTCTGCCTACCAAGGTTAACTTGTATCTGTTTTGTACATGTTTCTGTACCTATGTATGTATCTGTCTATGTGTGTGTTGTCCCTCACCACCTTAGAATATAAGCTCCTTGAGGGCAGGGACAGCTTTGATGTTTGCCTTTGTATCCTAGGATACGTAGTAAGTGCTTAATAAATGCTTGTTTGGTTAATGGATTGACCTTTGAAAGCTGGAACATAAAGTTTGGCAGCTAATTATTAGGTGCCTAATAAGTGCTTGTTTTGTCTTGAGTTTTCTTTGTGTCATAGTCCCCCGTGATAGTCTGGTAAAGCCTATGGACCCTCTCTGAAGAATGGTTTTTAATTGGTAAATAAAACGCATGGGTGGTTATGACAAGGGAACTCAGTTATCTTGAAACGCAGCTATCAAAGTATTTAGTTAAGGACTTCCGCTGTAAAATAACAACGTTCAAAGTCAATTCTAAAAGATTCATGATGGAAAAATTCTATCCACATCCAGAGAAAGAACTATGGAGTCTCAATGCAGATCAAAGCATACTATTTCCGATTTTTTTTTTCTTTCTTGTGGTTTTCCCTTTTGTTCTCGTTCTTCTTTCACAACATGACTCATGTGGAAATGTTTAACATGACTGTACGTGTATAACCTATATCAAGATTGCTTGCTGTCTTGGGGAGGGTAGAAAGGAGGGAGAGAGAAAAATTTGGAATTCAAAATTTTACAAAAATGAATGCTGGAAACTACATGTAAGTGGAAAAAATTAAAAAAAACCCTATTAACTGGGGGTTAAAAAAAAAAAAAAGAAGCTCCGCAGTAAATAAATCCAGAGAGCTGTTAGCTTCCAGGTCGGTGGTTCGTGAGCAGCACAAGCCGGGGCCGCCGTGTCCCAAGCCACACTACGGCGGTTTCCGTCCTGGCAGAAGGAACGGCGTGCAACTTAACAAGCGGAAGCGACGGCGCCCGAGTCACGTGGTGGCAGGAGCAGGAACGTGGCAGAGGGCGGGCCGGCAGCGAACGTGCAGCGTCTTGGGCTCTGCTGAATGGGTGGCCGCGGCGGTATGAGTGCGCTCTGCGGCGTTTTGCTGGAGCCGCGACCAGTGCTTGCCTCTCCCCGGTAGCGCGCGGAGTTGCTGGGTGGTGAGGAAAGCGGCTGCGAGAAGGAGGGGGAGGAGCAGCAGCAGCAGCAGCAGCAGGAGGAGGGAGGAAAGCGGGCGGGAGGTGGCCAGAGTGGGGTGTTCGGCGACTGTAGCTCTCGCCCTTGGGCCAGGCTCTCCAAAGCCGGGGAATCATGGCATCTCTGGTCCACACAGTCCAGGAGAATGGGCGCATAGCCGGGCTCCTGCTCAACCTGCTGGTCTCCATCTGCATTGTGTTTCTTAACAAATGGATCTATGTGCACTACGGCTTCCCCAACATGAGTCTGACCCTGGTGCACTTCGTGGTGACTGGGCTGGGCTTGTACATCTGTCAGAAACTGAACATTTTTGCCCCTAAAAGTCTGCAGCCCTCCAAGCTGCTGTTCCTGGCCCTCAGCTTCTGTGGGTTTGTGGTCTTCACCAACCTCTCTCTCCAAAACAACACGATAGGCACCTATCAGTTGGCCAAGGCCATGACCACCCCTGTGATCATAGTCATCCAGACCCTGTTCTACAAGAAAACCTTCTCCGCCAAAATCCAACTCACTCTGGTGAGTAGCTCCAGCTCCAGCTTTTGGTGGCTGGAGTGACTCTCCCAGCCGCACTTCCTTTATCATCGCCCCGAAAATTGACTTCCTTGGGAACTGAGAAATTGATGTTTCGACCTGGTGTCAGTTTATGTGTCTTCACTTTGCCAGGCCCCCTGACCGAGTGGCAGGGGTTTGAGCTGCTCATTGGTTAGCTGGGGGAAGAGCCTGTTGGGGGCTTCCCAGAGCTTTTCGATAACAAAGAAACATGTGTAAGACCTCATAGCATCCTGTTTGCATGGTGACATGCCATTAGGGTCCCTGGACCTTGGAATCCATGGGGACCCAGTGGAATATTCATCTTGGACTTTTGAGAATTTACAGAATTGTCTGTGTGTACCTTATAGTGGCCACCCTACCTTTGACCATTGTTGAAAAAAAAGTTTTCAGTAATGCCCTGTCTTTCTAATTTATGTTAAAAAAAATGTGGGTAGCATATTTTAATCGGAAGAAATGGGATGATCGATTTGGCCATTTTAAAAAATGAATTATTTAAAGAGGTACTAAATTTTCTATGTATGAGCATTAATAGACATGCATTTAAAATCTCATAAGACTGTTAAAAAAACTAAACTTGAATCTCTTTGATTTCGTCTAATTAATATTTACATCTTTTTCTTTGCAGATACCCATAACTCTAGGTGTCATCCTAAATTCTTACTACGATGTGAAGTTCAATTTTCTTGGAATGGTGTTTGCAGCTCTCGGGGTGGTAGTTACATCCCTTTATCAAGTGGTTGGTAATTTTTTTTCTTTTGTGCCCTTTTAGCAGACTCTAATTTTTGAAGCTGTAAGCTCCAAGGATAGGATACCGATTAGACTATTGGAAAGAAAATCTAATTTTCAGTTTTGTTGGATGAAAAGTGAGAAACGGAAAAGAGGCAGAGAAGCATGGCTGGAAAGGTTCCATAGCTAGAAATGCTGGTTCAACTCTAACATTATTATGAAGGAGCATGCTTTTGTATGTATCATGAAGTGTAAAGAAATTTCAAATTAGTAACCACATTCCCAAATCATGTTACTATTAAAACCTATAGGCTGACTTCACTTTCTAATAACCTAGGTAACATATAGTAATGAAAACTCTGTAAGTAAAAAGTTCACTTTTCATCTGCATGGCATACTGCACAGTAATGGTAGGTACTCAGTAAATATTGTCACTTGATACATTTTGGGCAGGGGAGTGTCCTGTGAAATAGAAGTCTCTCTGTGCTAAAAACTCTGGCAGTGGAATTTCTGAGGGTGTCACCCTAAGGGATCAGATTCAAGATCTGTAGCATTTAAGTGGATGTTTCAAGGCTTACTTCTGAGAAAGACCTGCAGATTTAAAATGAATGAATTATCAATTTTTTGAGAGGCAGGCAACATGTAGTAGTGGATAGTGAGCCACCCTCACAAGGCTCAAGTCCCTTCTCTAACAACTCTTTCTTTCTTTTTCTTTCTCTTTCTTTCCTTCTTTCCTTATTTTCTTTCTTTCCTTATTTTCTTTCTTTCTTTCTTTCTTCCTTTCTTTTTCTTTCTTTCTTTCTTTCTTTCTTTCTTTCTTTCTTTCTTTCTTTCTTTCTTTCTTTCTTCTGTGTGTGTGTGTGTGTGTGTGTGTCAGTCAGGGTTAGGTGACTCGCCCAGGGTCATACAGCTAGTGTTAAGTGTCCAAGGCTAAATTTGAATTCAGGTCCTCCTGACTTCAGGGCGGTGCTCTATCCTCTATGCTACCTAGCTTCCCCTCTCTAACAATTTTTGCTGTGACTTAGGGTGAGTAATTTAACTTTCTCAGTGCTCTAGACAAGTCTAAAATTCCATGGCAGAGAAATTATAAATGAGCATGATATAGGGAGTTTCTTTACCAGTGAAATCATCTATTCAGCCCTCAGCCTATCATTTTTGATATTGACCTGAAATAATGCACTTTTTGGTGATTATAGTTTCTGAGGCATTGCTGATACTGTGTAACACCCATGTCACCAAAGATTCAGTGCCTTTTAAAAAAAGGGGATGAGCAGAGGGTACAGAATAATTCAGACTTCTTTGTATTAATCAATCTACATACTTTTACTAATTGACTCCTATGTACTTTACACATAATACCAATTATACCACAGTATCAGTTACTAAAGAGAATGGCCAGAGATGCTTAGTTTTGTCATTTAAAAACAGTAATATTTTGGAGATACTTGAGTGGTGCTAAGACATTGTGTTCTTTTAGTAAAGTGAATTAATTTAGTGAATTAAATTAGGAATTTAATCCTCATCTTTTTAAAAAATTAAATATTTCCTAACTTCTGTTAAAAACATTGAAATTTATTATTGTATTCATTGTACTCCAGTAGAAAATGCAGAAAATACATAAATTTCCTGTTTCTAGAAAATCTCTTCCAACTCATTCTCATAATGATCATTCTGCTCATATAACTCAGAATTGCCATGGGTCACATTAAATTCTATAAAAAGTAGTCTAATGTAGGGAAGCCTGCTTATCAAGGACCCTGAAGACAAAACAAAGGTTAGGAGATTTGAGGTGGGATTGAGAAAGGGTAGTTTACTGAGGAAAAGGTTAACGCCTCCCGGTGAAGTTGTTTTCTTTACAGAATAGTTGTGATCCTGCAAAATTTATTGTAAATCAGATAATATAGTCCTCTTGAATCCCACTCTGATTTCTGAGAGAGGTGTTCTTACTGGTCCTGTTGATAACAGTGAAAGGAGAGTAGAATGGGAGATTTGGGTATCAGCCTGGAGCTGCAGTGAGAGGCAGCTGAACTGACCAGCCAGCTTACAAATGTTTGTATGGAGGCTGGGGGAAAGAGCAGGAGATTGATTACGACATACCTCTCTGTAGTAACTGGTGAACAGCTGGGGAATTAGTCCTTTATATTACATTGTTCATTAGGTGAGGTCTTTTGAGATCATGTATCAGATTTTTTCCTACCTGTCTATTTCTCATATTTATTTTTGTAGATAAACAATTCCTATAATGGAGGTATGCTTCAATACAAAAATAAAATTAACTGGGGGACTCCCAGCATTAGTCAGATCTTATTGTAGAGTCATTAAACATTAGAGCTTGACGGGCTCTAAGTGATCATTTATTTAACTAATTACGGCAGATTTTTTCCCCACCACTCAGATCCACCTCTCATGCCTCATTGTGGCATCCAAGGAGACTGGCTTCTCTAGAGTTAGTACCAGCAATGCACAAACTTGGGCCAGGCCTGCCTAGCAGAATAATCTTTGTGTATTGGGCAGCAAGGTGGCACAGGGGATAGGGTTCTAGACTTGGAACCAGGAAGACCTTAGTTTACATCCTGCCTCAGGTACTTACTGGCCGGGTAACCTCGAATGTCTAATTTATTATCATCTGATGTCTTAGGAAGTTACATACTGAAAGTACAGGGGCAGTAGCAGTCACTAGAAAAGCTAATCAAGGCCTTGAGAAGCCCATCACTGCCTGTACTGGGAGACCTAAAAGAAGTGAATTTGTTGTCAGACCACCTGTCATATGCCATTCTTAGAAAGGAATGAAAGGAGTCATGGCCTTGCCATCTTCTCAATGTCTCTAATTATTGTTGGCCTCAACATTGTCCCTTCTGTTTCTTTTGGCACTTGAGGAAGCTGAACCACCTTTTGAATCAGAAGCATATTTATTTAAAAAGTATTCTTTATCCCTTCCCAACTAAAAATCATCAATTGAATAAGTCTTAGGTTCCTTCCTGCAAAAGACTTAACATGCTTTTGTTTATTTTATTTCTTCATCGTTTTATAAGATAGCAAGGTATAATGGTAGCCAGCTGGTCTTTGTAGCCCATTTTGCCGTGTTGAGTAATGAGAGATGTCTTATTTCCATGTTAAATTCATTCTATCTGTTACTGTTTAGTGGGTAGGAGCCAAACAGCATGAGCTGCAGGTGAACTCCATGCAGTTGCTATATTACCAAGCACCAATGTCGTCTGCCATGTTACTAATGGTCGTGCCCTTCTTTGAACCTGTATTTGGGAAAGGAGGAATCCTTGGACCCTGGTCATTTTCTGCCTTGGTAAGTTGTTTTTGAGATGGATTCACATTCACAACTAAAACAAGCAAGTTAGGAACATTTTAAAGCATGTCCATTTTCTCACTGAGGATATATCTTTAAATTAGAAAATGCACTTTAGCCTTACTTTTGTTGATCATTTATGACAGCCTTAACTCCCTGAAATAGATTACAAGTGAAAGTAAATAGAGGAGATCTCTTAGTAAACAGAATGGCTGTTACAGAGTTTATGCACTTAGTCTCCATGAGAAGCTCTCAGTGCCTCATTCAGAATCTACTTGATCATGTTTAGCAGATGGTTCTAATGCTGAGATGCTTTCCAGAGGAGTTAAAGCAGCAGGTTATAGGGAAAGGGGGTGGACCTAGGGCTCTTATTGTAGATAAAGCTCAGTAGTGAAGTGAATAGAGTGTTGGGTTTGAAATCAGGAAGACCTGAGTTCAACTCCCATCTCAGACACTTAATAGCTGGGCGATCCTGGGCATATCACTTCACTGCTCTCTCCCTCAGTTTCCTCATCTGTAAAATGGGGATAATAATAGCACCTCCCTCCTAGGGTTGTGTAAAGATCAAATGAAATAACATGTACAATGCTTTGCAAACTCCAAAGTACTATAAAGCCCTATATATTATTGTAGGGACAGGCAGCCTTATACCTTTCAATAGCTCCCGAAGCTATTCTTTCATTATAGAAAGTAGCTCTTTCATTTTGGCTTAATAAAATAATTAATGCTCACAGTGATGGCCCTGAATCATTAAAAATTATTCTCAGTATACTGTCTTTAATATGATTATGGTATATTTCAGAAAGCTTTTTATCAAAAAATAGTTAAGAGTAAAAATACTTAAATGGGGTAAACTTTAGTGATCTAGAAATTTCATGATTTCCCCAGTGGTGCTACACGAAGGAGATGTCACCTACATATATGGGATAATTGGGACTGGGGGTGGGTAACATGAGAAGCTGTTTAGGGTATAATAAAAATGAGAGACTCTGTTAAAGTCAACAAGTCTTTATTAAAACAATGTCGCAGGCACTGTGCTAAGTCAACACAGACAAAAAGAAAGATCAACCTTACCCTTAAGGCTTCTGCCAGACAGGATCCATTCTGGATTTTGATTCTCAAGATCATGGGTAGCTTTTGTGTACTCCACTAGGTAGGATATCATACTCACCCTTCGTTTTCTCATCATCCCAATGTGGCTTTGAAGGTGACAATCAGATTAACTGAGTAAATCTATATGAAACAGAAATGATCTGCATATGGAGCTGTTTCACTTGAAACTTAATTTCTCAGTGGCTTAAACCGTAGCTAATATTTTCATTGCAGCCCTGTCATCTCCCTAGCTGAAGAGCCTGCCCTTCTAAGGTCACCCACCATCTATTCTTGTATGTACAGAGTTATTTCCATGTTGTTTCTCTCGTTAGAATGCAAATGCCTTGAGGACAGGGACTATTTTTTAGTCCAAGTCTCATCTCAGACAATTAATAGCTGGTTGACCCTCAGCACATCACTTCACTGCTCTCTGCCTCAGTTCCCTCATCTGTAAAATGGGGATAAAAATAGCACTATAATTAATTAAATTAAATAATTAGTCTTTTTTTGTACCCCTACTATTTAAACATAATGTTTAGCACATAATAAGTGCGTAATAAATGCTACCTTACTTACTAGTCTCAAAAATCTGAAATAATAACACCAACCTTGTATGATAGGAAATTGGACTGAATTTTTTTTTTTCAGTTGGGGGCCTGGTTAATTTACCTTTTTAGCTGTCTCTCCTCTGTTGCCCTCTAGGAAGCTTCCACCTCTGCCCATTTTTCATTGTCTTCCAAATACCTTTTGTACTTTCTCATCTTTGTGCTTTTGCTCATACAGATTTCCCTGCCTGGAATGCCCTTATGCCCTTTGTCTTCTCTTTGCTGATCTAAATTTTATCTGTTCTTTTTTTTTTAAATATGAGGCAGTTGGGGTTAAGTGACTTGCCCAGGGTCACACAGCTAGTAAGTATCAGGTGTTTGGTCTGAGACTGGATTTAAACTCAGGTCCTCCTGACTCCAAGGCTGGTGCTCTGTCCACTGCGCCACCTAACTGCCCCTTATCCATCCTTCAAAAGCCAGGTCAAAGCCCGCCTCTTTCAAAAAGCTTTTCCTACCTACCTAAACCTGAAGTGAGCTCCCCGCACTGTGAACTCCTAGAGCATTTAGTATTTATACTGTTCACTTAGCTATTGTGTGCTACTGTGTGACCGCTCTTTTGTCATTTTCTTTAACTGGTATTTAAATCTCATTTTGATTTTTAAGTTTTATGTCTTTCCAACTAGATTATAACTTTCTTGAGGGCAGGAGCTATGTCATATTATTTTTGTTCCCCATATCACCTTGCGTGGTTTAGTTGGTACTCAATGAATATTTGTTGATTTAATTTAAAGAGAAAAATTAGATCTTGTAGTCAGGATTTTCATTTAATTTTAACATTTTGATTTGACTTTGTAAGTAGAGTTGGATTTCCATATATAAGAATATTTTCCACAAAAATATTTCCACTCTGTTGCTTCATCAAGGCATGGAGGGGGGGTCATGGATTTTCAGATGCTTTACCAGTACAGCTGAGTTCTTTCAAAGCCTTCCAAGCTGGAAAGGCTTTGACCATAGGCTTAGTAAATAGGCTATGAGTATGTTGTCCAAGGATGGCCCAGCTAAGTCAAGGGCCGGCGAGGGAGTGGGATTGTGGGGATCATCACCAGAAAGTTGGCCTCAGCATTTTTAAAAAATGTTTTGGGGCAGCTAGGTGGCTCAGTGGATAGAGCGCCGGCCCTGAAGTCGGGAGGACCTGATTCAAATGCGGCCTCAGACCAAACACTTGACACTTACTAGCTGTGTGACCCTGGGCAAGTCACTTAACCCCAGTTACCTAATCAAAAAAAAAATGTTTCCTAAGGTGTGTTGGGGATGTGATCTTGGCTGTTGGAGGGAGAACCCATGAGAGAAATCACAGGTCTTGCAGAGTATTGGAGTATATTATAATAGACGTTGTTCCTTCCTTTGTATCCCTTAGTGATCACTCAACTCTGTCCCAACCGAACTCAATTTCTTTTTTGTCTTGAGGTCATATTTGAAAGTAATCAAAAAGATGGGTCAGACATGTTTGCAGTAGCATTATGACTGCACTATATTAATGACGTTCTCTTTGTTTTCCTAGCTTATGGTGCTGCTATCTGGTATAATAGCCTTTATGGTAAATTTATCTATATACTGGATCATTGGAAATACTTCACCAGTCACGTATCCTTTTCAATAATGCTAATAACAATTTTTAAAATATGTACGACACGTTAGGATTTTTTAAAGCATGTTTCATATTTATTATCTTATTTGCTCATTATAATCCTGTAAACTAGGAAGAATAGGAGTATTGCCCTCTCTTTACAGATGGGGAAACCAGGCCATTGAGAGGTTAAGTGGTATGAGGTCATATAACAAATTGTTGATGTTGATCGGATTCCTGATTCTTAGTAATAATAATAATAGCTATTATTATTGTAATAATAAGAAATATAAATGTATAATAAAGTAATAATTATTATCATAAAAACCAGCATCTATTATAGCCCTTTAAGGAAGGCATTTGATCCTCACAACAACCTTATGAGGTTGGGGCTATTATGATCCCCATTTTACAGATGAAGAAACTGAGGCAGATAGAAATTAAGTGACTTGCCCAGAGTCACACAGGTAGTAAGGATCTGAGGTAGAATTTGAACTCTGGTCTTTTCTGAGTTCTAGTCTAGCTCTTTATCTACTCCATGACATAGCTGCTTCATAGCAGGCCTATGGATATTTTTGTGTTTTCATTTGAAAAGAGTCATTATACATTCAGGTATTTAAAAAAAAGTCTTCCCGGAAATAAGTGTCAATTATATTGTGTCGATTATGTTACAGTAAGTGTCGATTATATTGTGAATGAGAACAAAAAAAATGCTAGGTGGTAGGTCTTTCATATTTTTCAAACTAGTTCAATCACCCTAAATAATAGTCCACTATTTCTTTCAATATGAAGTGTAATAGCATATTTAAATATAATTCTGAATTCTCCATAATAAACATGTGAGGTGTGGTTGATCCAAGCAAATCCCCACCCCTTCTTTAGACTCTAAACCATTTCTTTTTCACTTTGGAATGAGTTCTTAGGCTTGTATTTTTATATCGATGTGACTGTTTTCACTTGAAACCAAATAATGAAGTCATGGGATGTTGGGGAAATATCTAGGAAGCCACCCAGTTTCTCCATCTTGCTATTTGCTCATCGCCTCACTGCTCCTCACACCATCCTAGAAGAGACAGCCTAATGTCTCACAGTGATTCACAGTGTAAACTTAAGCCGAGTTACTGACCGTTCCCTGGGTTAGGGAAGGAGTTTGGTGATTTGTCGTCAAAAGTTTTTTCTCATACGATTTTTTTTCTTGTCTCAGATACATTTATTTTGTTTTTGCAGAAGCTTTTCAGTTTTTTTGTAATCCAACTTATTTGTCTTATCTTTTTTCCCTTTTTTGTAATATTTTTATTTTACACTTAAATACAAAACAAGAAAAGAAAAAAAAACATAGCCATGTACACAGCAGAGCATAAGAGCAGATTCAATACAAAACAATAAATTTCCAATTCAAGAAAATCTATATAATAAATACTACACATTGTTTTCAAAGCTGCCTAGCTTTGTTTTCTTGTTGGTTTTCTTTTGTTCTCTGCTGTGTACTTTTTACTTTATTTTTTTCCTCTTCCCCCCTGACCCTAAAGAAGGCTACAATTAAGTGTAGACATATATACATATACATACATATCTATAAACACACATATACACTCATATATTCTTTTTTTAAATTAATTTATTTTGATTTATCGACAATTACTTCCATAAGCTTTTGAGTTTTAAATTTTTCTCCCCCTCCCTCCCCAAGATGGCGTGCAATCTAATATAGGCTATACATATACATTTCTGTTAAACATATTTTCACATTAGTGATGTTAAAAGTAAGAATTAGACCGAATAGGAGGAACCCCCAGAAAGAGGAAACAAAATACAACAGAAGAAAAAAAAATAGCAAATACATACACATATATTCTCATACAAATTAAATAAGAGTGAATCCTGAAGTGTTAAAGTAAAGTTGGGACAGCATCTTACCTTTTGTGTCCCAGCATTTAGCTCAGTCCTTTGCATGGAGGAAGCTGTTTTATAAATGTTTGTTGACTAGTTGATGATGATAACAACAGCTAACATTTATGTCACTCTTTAAAGTTTTCAATGTTCTCTGCGTGTATTATGTCATTTGATTCTCACAACCCTGGGAAGTAGGTGCTATTATTTCCATTTACAGTTGAAGAACTAGACTGAGAGGTTTAGTGACTTGCCCAGGGTCACACAGCTACTAAATGTCTGAGGTAGAGTTCAAATTCAAGTCTTCTTGACTCCAAGCCCAATGCTCTTTCCATTCTATGGCCTGGTTTTAAAATTAAAGAAGAGTAATCAGTTAATGGGTTTTATAGCACTTAATCCCTAGCTTATCTGTTGGTGGGTAGTCATGTGAGTCTGAATAAGTCCAGTGCTGCTGCTTAATTGCTTGAACTTACATGGAAAAAATAGGCAGAGCACCATAGCCCACCCAAGTTCCATGGGTGAGCTCTTGGTTACAGCTCATAAATGTGAATGACGGTTTTTCTGGTCCTGGCAGATACTACACTGTTCTTGTTAGCATCTGGCAGAGAAAGGGAGCAGTAAAAGTGTCTGCAGAGCTCACATCCACTTTAGGAGGAAGCAAGTTCAACACATCCAAGACAGAACTCATTTTCCCCCCTGTATCTGCCCCTCTTCTGTCAAGGACAACACTATTTTTCTAGTAATCCAAGTTGATCACCTAAGAGTCATCCTCAACTCCCTGCTCTTACTTATCCTTCATATCCAGTCAGTTGTCATTGATTCTGTTTCCGAAATATCTCTCACACCCATGCCCTTCTCTCTCCTCTCATGGTCGCTGCCCTCGTTCAAAGCCCTTATTACCTCTTCTGTGGCCTGGTACGGTAGTGTCCTACTCCTCCAGAATCCCTTTCCTCTCCAGTCCATCCTCCACACAATTGCCAAATTCATATTCCTGAAGCATAAGTCTAACCATATCACTTCTTTGCTCAAGAAACGTCTGGTCCCAGCCTACTTTCCAAGGCTTAGCACACATAACTGCCCTTCATGCACTCCTTGCCCTATCCCAAAGGTGGTGGGGTTTTTTTTTTAACTTTTTTCTTTCTTCAAATAACAGAACTTTACATTCTGTCCTTCCCATCTCCTCACACACTGTGTGGGTGGGTGGGGGAATCCTCATAACTGTATAGTCAAGCAAAACTAAGTCCTGGATTAGCCATGTCCACAAAAATGTCTCGGTCTGCATCCTGTGTCATCATCTCTAGGTCAAGAGGTGAATAGCATGTCTTCATGACTCTTCTGGAATCATGGCTCCTCATTGCATTGATCAGAATTTTTAATTCTTTCAAAGTCATTTGTCTTTATGATGTTATTGAAGAAATTGTTCTCCTGGTTCTACTCACTTCACTCTGCATCAGTTTGCACAAGTCTTTCCAGGAGTCCCTGAAACTATCACCTTCATGATTTCTTACAGCACAATAGTATTCCATTACTTTCAGATACCATAATAGCCATACCCCAATTGATGGGCACCCTCTTAGATTCTGGTTCCTTGGCACCACAAAAAGAGCTGCTATAAATATTCTTGTATGTATGGGTCCTTTTTCTATTTCTTTGATAGCCCAGAAATTCTTAAACTTTTTATGTCATGGGACTTCTTTGGCAGTATGGTTAAACCTATGGACCCTTTCTTATAACGTTTTTAAATATATAGAATTTCAAAGGAAACTAATTATATTGAAATAAATATATAATTTTTTTCCCATCCAAGTTCATAGATCGCCTAGAGTATGTCCACAGACCCTAGGTAGGAACGCCAGTTTTAGCCAACCTACTTTACTTGCTATTCCCCATTCAGGACATCCTACCTTGAATCTCCATTCCTTCACTTCTGCTTCTTAGAATCTCTTAATATCCTTCAAAGTTCAGATCGAACACCACCTTTGATAAAAAGGCTGCCCTGATTTCTTCACTTGCTAGTAAACACCCTCTTTTGTCTCCTACCCCCCCCAAAAAAAAAGTTGTCTCCAATTTACGGACTTTGTAGTTACTTCTCTGGCGATGTGATGTTTGCCCAGGGTAGAAAGACACCTGGAAGGCACTGCTTTTGTCTTTGTACTTCTAATGCCTGGCTGATGGGTATTTAATTAGTAATGCTTATTGGATGGATAAATGACTTGTTAAATCACCAAGGAGAATTCCCCTTTAACCTAATGTAGATTGGTAACAATTTTACTCAGGAGTCCCCGTGGCTCCATAAACGTTGAAAATGATGGGCTGTGTAAATTTCAGTAATTGGTATAATATCAATTTGAGTATTTTTTTTTTATAAATGGATTCATTTAAGTGTGTCAGAAATTTTCATGTCATCCTTAACCAAAACTACAGGTATAACATGTTTGGACACTTCAAATTCTGTATTACCTTATTTGGAGGATATGTTTTATTTAAGGATCCATTGTCAGTTAATCAGGGACTTGGCATTTTATGCACATTATTTGGCATTCTAGCCTATACTCATTTTAAACTTAGCGAACAGGAAGGCACCAGGAGCAAACTGGTACAGCGTCCTTAAGGGAGTTTTCATGGAGAAAATATAATTGCCTCAGGCAGTTGAAAAAAGTGTTGCCAAATGTGCACTGATTTTTTTTATAATAAGCAAAAAGTTAATTTCAAAATCTACCACAATAAATTCTACTACCAGGATATAAAAATAAAGCATATTTTTATGTGTTAAAACCGATTTTGAATTTTTAAATGATTGTTTTCTCAAAACAAAGGTGACCCACATTGAATTTTACAAGTCATCTTTCTGAGTATAAAAGAGGATGGCTTCATCCAAATAAGTACATCAAAATTAAAGTTGTTATAGTAATACTAAAGAAATTTTTGCCAGTACCATGTGGCAATTATGATTTATTTTTGGGTTTTTTTTTTGTATTCATGCACTAAGAAACATTGATGGCATGGGACTGTTTTCCAGAATGTAAGTTTTCATTTAATATAGCATAAGTATTATCACTGGTAATTTCTCATCGAGTGGCATATATATTATCACTCTGGGCAAAATCTTAGGATTTGAAATTCTGCTGGATTTGGTTTAATTTCAGGATTGTTTCATTTGGAGAAATCAAATTGAGAGTGAAATTGATAAGATGGCTAAAACAAACTTCAGTTCCAAATTAATTTTTTTTGGGGAAAAAGTTAAGGTAGCAGGAGGTAAGTTGTTAAGAAATTGAACCGTTCTTGCTCTGGACCTTTTTTTTTTTTAGGCTATTGGGGTTAAGTGACTTGCCCAGGGTCACACAGCTAGTAAGTGTCAAATGTTAGGCCTGAGGCCAGATTTGAACTCAGGTACTCCTGACTTCAGGGCTGGTGCTCCATCCACTGCACCACCTAGCTGCCCCGCTCTGGACCTTTTTAATAGTATACTTGGTCTAGTGAAACAAGCATACTTTTTAGACTCACAGAAAAATGTCACTCGTGCTCTACATGGAAATGGGAATAATGGAAATAACTATAATAATGATGATGACTATGATGCTGTCAGGCAGAGTTTGTAGTGTTTTCCCATCCTCCTTGGCAAGCTAAATTCCAAACATTTCAGAACTGTAGCTTTTGAAGAGACAGATAGGGATTGCCTAAGCTCTAAGCATGCCCCCATCTCCCCTTGGCATCAAAGATCAGTATAAACTATGCCTAGCCTAACAGAGGTGACAGAAAGAATCTAGAGTAGCTAGTTGAGGCAGAAACTGTTCAAAATCTCAGGAATATCTAGGGAGAAATGAGGAAGAAAGATTGGAAAGGAGAGTAATTTGACCTGGAGAATAATTTGTGTTGTAATTCTTTTCTGTGACAATTTGTGATGGATTTTTTTTTTAAAAGCTTAAACACAGAATTGTGTCTTCTGGAAGAAAAAGTGACCAATAGAAAGAACGGTTATTATATAATAAGGGAGAAAATATTGTGCCATGTACTTAGGATAGCTAATTATCTATACTGCTTGAAGTTGGAGCTATATAGAAAGTTTTCAGTTATTAAAGCTTAAAACAGCACTAAGACTTTTAGGGTACCTTATATAAAGTAGACTAATGATAGTGACTGTCTCTCATGATAGAGAGAGCTGGATAGTTGTTTTCTTCTGTAAGAATTCTTTTCTTGGGGCAGCTAGGTGTCACAGTGGATAGAGCTCTGGCCTTGGAGTCAGGAGGACCTGAGTTCAAATGTGGTCTCAGACACTTGACACTGACTAGCAGTGTGACCCTGGGCAAGTCACTTAACCCCGCTTGCTCATCAAAAAAAGACAAAAAAAATTTTTTTTCCTAAGCACTATTTGTTTGTTTTGCTTTTATTTTTTTCCAATTACATGTAAAAGCAATTTTTAATATTCTTTTTTAAATTTTATTTTTGAGTTCCAAATTCTCTGCCTCCCCTCTACCCTCCTTAAGACGCCAAGCAATCTGATAGAGATTCGACATGTTAAGCAGTGTTAATTGTGAGAGGCAGTGTGGCATTGTGGATGGAAGGCCTTGCTTTGGAAGCAGAAAAGACCTCTTCTTGACACATACCAGTGGGGGATGGGGGCCGTGGCGCAGGTTACAACCTCTTGGTGTTCGAGGCAGTGCTTGGATTCTGGATCTACTTCTGAAGAAGGAAATTGCATACCAGGAGTTCTCTGCACTGATGAAATTTTTTTAAAGAATCATTTGTACATTTTGAGCGGCAGCAGGTCTGTAGAACCAAGGGCTAACTGAAGTTATAGTCAGTGTTGGACAATCTGAACTGTGATCTGTCTTCAAATCTATTTTGATAGCATTTCAGCTGCAAATCTGTTAATGCTGTTTATTTTTGTATTTGTATTTTTTTTAAACACTCTTTGGTTCTTCCCATTTTATAGAACTGTTTAATTAAGAATTATAAAGCAATTTATACAGATCTATGTTCTGCATAAGTTTGATTTTTAACATACACTGTGTTAAAATAAAGATAAGCTACTGGCGAGTTTCCAAAGCAGTGGTGATGAATTGTAAATTCTACACTATGTGCACTGATTTGTGCCATGCACAAACTCTTTATTGTAAGTAAAAGTGGGGGGCATTTTTAGGGGTAGGAAATATGAATTGATGCCAAAGCATCGGCAGAAGGTGGGGGGGGGGACATGCTATCTATAAATAAATATATAAATACTGTTAGAAGCATTCAGTGTAATCTACAAGAAAATCAGCATTCAAATCCTGCTTCAAAAACCAGCTGAGTGTGACACCGAGCAAATCACTTAAGCTTTCTGAACCTCAGTTTCCTCACCTGGAAAATGGGGATGATTGCATCTATCTTACAGGGTTGTTGTGAGAATTAAGTAAGATAATGTGTGGAAAAGGCTTGCTGACCTTAAAGATTTATACAAATGTGAACTCTTTTTTGAAGAAAACAAATTGGACTTTTGGTTATTAAAGTGACTAGAGCTGTCTTTAGTTGCAAGATGAGCAATTTCTATTTGATAAATAAAGCTTGGGGCATTTACTTTAATTTGTAGAAATTAAATGATCCATAAGACCCCTGGCTCTTTCCCCAGCTTCTGTAAGGCTAAAAGGAAATGCATGTGTGTATCTCACGATAGTTTGACTAGGTTCCAAATGTGTCTAGTGTAGTCAAATACAATTCTTGTCTTCCTATTTAAATAGTATTTCAGGGAAAGTATATGTGCATCTGTCCAAAAAGCGTATTCCTACGTGTTACTAAAATTTTTGTTAAGAGCTGCCAAAGTTTGGTACCTCATTGTCAGCAAACCTGGTCACTTTTTAAAAGGAAGCATGGCCTTCCTCATATACATGTCATGGCCGGCAGTCCAGCATTGCAGTTGTCAGACTGGCAGTTTTTTATTAATGGCATTATTTTGAAAAATGACAATGTTATTTTAACTGTTTGAATAAAAAGAGAACTCCCTTTTCAAGGAAAAGACTTTGTTTTTGTGATTTTCTTTTTAATTGTAGTCTGACTGCTGGAAATTAGTTGAAGCTGTGAGAGGGCCTAGATTTTAAAATTGGTGTGATCTAAAAATTGTTTTTTACATGTATCTGGGGAAAAAATAAAATACCAAATTAAAAACAAATTGGTGTGATCAAGAGCACCATTCCTCCTGGTTATGGGTGGTAAAGTGGATAGAGTGTTGGGCCTAGAGTCAGAAGACTCATCTTCCTGAGTTTAAACACAGCCTCAGATGCTTACGAGTTGTGTGACCCTGAGCAAGTCACTTCACCCTGTTTGCCTCAGTTTCCTCATCTTTCAAACGAGCTGGAGTAAGAAATGGCAAACCACTCCAGTATCTTTGCCAAGAAAACCCCAAAAGGGGTCACAAAGAGTTGGACACTGCTAAAAAAAACAACTAAGCAACAATAACAGATGTAAAGGAGCTTCTGAGTTGAGGGACAGTAGACCTGGAGTCAGGGAGACCTGAGTTCAAACCCCACCTCTGACATTTTCTAGCAGGGTAACCTTGGGCAAGTCACTTCACCTTGGTTTGCCTCAATTTCTTCATCTGTAAAACAGAGATAATACTTCCTCATAGGGCTATTAAAAGGATCAAATCAGATAAAATCTGTAGATCGCTTAGCACATGGTCTGGCACATACTAGGTGCTTAATAAACACTTACTCTCTTCTCTCTTCTACCACCCACACTATTTCCTAAACTTTCATTTTGCTGTGGGAAGGCGAGACACAGGAGTTCAAAGGAAATCCTTTGGGGTAGCTAGGTGGCACAGCGGATAGAGCACTTGCCCTGGATTCAGGAGGACCTGAGTTCAAATCCAGCCTCAGACACATAACACTAACTGTGTGACTGTGGGCAAGTCACTTAACATGGACCTGAGTTCAAGTCTGGCCTCAGACATATAACATTCACTAACTGACTCTGGGCAAGTCACTTAACCCCAATTGCCTCACAAAAAAAAAAAAAAGAATCCCAAAGGAAATCCTAGCAAGAATAAAAATGTACCAGAGCAGACTCCTCTGAGCTATTCTATTGGGATTTTGTGTTTAGTTTCTGTCAAGTTTCTTTAGATTGAAAACAAAAAAAACAAAAAAAAACCCTTAAGGTAGAGGCAGCTTGGTCCTTGATGTAGTACTCAACCTGGAGTCAGGAAGACATCAATTTGAATTCTTCCCACAGAGCTTATTGCTTGGGTAATCCCAGGCAGGTCCTCTCAGCCTCATTTTCCTCATCTGTAAAATGGGAGACAACAGTCCCTACCTCACAGGGTTGTTGTGAAGATCATATTAGATGATGTATGAAAAGTTCTTTATAAACCTTAAAACCCTATATAAATATGATATATTCTTATTACTCCATCTCTGGAAACATCCTGGGCTCTGCTAGGTGATCTTTTCCTTGCAGGCCCCCACCTCATTTCCTGACCACCAGCTCTAAGCCATCCTGTCCCATACTCCTTGCCTTTTTCCAGCTCCCCTGTCTCTGTTGTCTTGTCCCCATTAGAATGGAAACTCCTGTTGGGCAAGGACCCTCTCGCTTACTTGCATCTGTATCCCCAGTACCCAGTGTTCAGAATCTAGTAAGCATGTAATAAACACCACTACCAACCACTGTTAACAGTTTAGGTAAAATTAGCTATAATTATTACTGTAAAAATGTTCCTTCAACTTTACTCCTCAAGCCAAAATAGTGTTTCTGTTTTTTTTTTTTTTTAAATTGGGCAATGGGGTTAAGTGACTTGCCCGGCTAGTGAGTGTTATGTGTCTGAGGCCGGATTTGGACTCAGGTCCTCCTGAGTCTGGAGGCCTATCCACTGCGCCACCTAGCTGCCCCCCAGATATTGTTTCTAATGTGTGATATTTACTAGGTGATAATCTATAGTACAAATGATTGTGGGTTTTCATATTTTGATTTAATTCATAGGTAGTAATAGCTAACCTAGAGCTTTGCATAGATGACCTCATTGATCCTCACGATAGCCTCAGGAGGTGAGTGCTATCATCCCTACTTTACAGGAGGTGAGGATGAGGAAGCAGAAGCTGAGTGATCTTAGGGACCTAAGAATCTTGCCTGGGATCATACAGGCAGGACGTAAAATTTGGGCCTGCTCATCTCCAGGTCCCAAGTTTCAGACCTGTTAAGTGATAATCAAAGACTCCGTAAACTCTTGACCCTTTCTGTGTAGGAAGGTCCATCTTTATTAGGACTGAGCCTGGCCTAGAGTAAAAATGGTGGTCTGGCCTAGCCCTCGGGCCTGCTGCCTGTGTGACCTTGTGCTTCCATTTCCTCAGCGTAAAATGAGGTGGTTGGACTTGTCCTCCGAGGTTCTTTTCAGC